AACTTTATTCTCGTAATTTAACGAATTTTTTTCTCGAAACACCTTTTTTCTCATAATTTAATGAGTTTCTTTCTTGAAACTCAATAACTTTATTCTCGTAATTGAACGAATTTTTTTCTCGAAATCAACTTTCCTCTCGTAATTTAACGAGTTTCTTTCTCGAAACAACTTTTTTTCTCGTAATTTAATGTTTATTCTCAGCATTTTATTTCAACTTTATTCTCGTCATTTATTGAGTTTCTTTCTCGAAACACAGCTTTTTTTCTCGTAATTTAATGAGTTTCTTTCTTGAAACTCAACAACTTTATTTTCGTAATATAACAAAAAAAGTTCTCGAAAAACCTTTTTTCTCGTAATTTAATGAGTTTATTCTCAACATTTTATTTCCACTTTATTCTCGTAATTTAATGATTTTCTTTCTCGAAACACAACAAATTTTTCTCATAATTTATTGAGTTTATTCTCATCATTTTATTTCAACTTTATTCTCGTAATTTAACGAATTTTTTTCTCAAAACACCTTTTTTCTCGTAATTTAATGAGTTTCTTTCTTGAAACAACAACTTTTTTTCTCGTAATTTAATGAGTTTATTCTCAGTATTTTATTTCAACTTTATTCTCGTAATTTAACGAATTTTTTTCTCAAAACACCTTTTTTCTCGTAATTTAATGAGTTTCTTTCTTGAAACAACAACTTTTTTTCTCGTAATTTAATGAGTTTATTCTCAGTATTTTATTTCAACTTTATTCTCGTAATTTAACGAGTTTCTTTCTCAAACTTTTTTTCTCGTAATTGAATGAGTTTATTCTCAGTATTTTATTTCAACTTTATTCTCATAATTTAAGGAATTTTTTTCTTAAACTTTTTTTCTCGTAATTTAATGAGTTTATTCTCAACATTTTCTTTCAACTTTTTTCTCGTAATTTATTGAGTTTATTCTCAGCATTTTATTTCAACTTTATTCTCGTAATTTAACGAGTTTCTTTCTCAAAACACAACTTTTTTTCTCGTCATTTAATGTGTTTATTCTCAGCATTTTATTTCAACTTTATTCTCGTAATTTAACGAGTTTCTTTCTCAAAACACAACTTTTTTTCTCGTCATTTAATGAGTTTCTCTAAACACCTTTTTTCTCGTAATTTAATGAGTTTCTTTCTAAGCATTTTATTTCAACTTTAATCTCGTAATTTAACGAATTTTTTTCTCGAAACACCTTTATTCTCGTAATTTAGTGAGTTTCTTTCTTGAAACAACAACTTTTTTTCTCGTAATTTAATGAGTTTATTCTCAGCATTTTATTTCAACTTTATTCTCGTAATTTAACGAATTTTTTTCTCGAAACACCTTTATTCTCGTAATTTAGTGAGTTTCTTTCTTGAAACAACAACTTTTTTTCTCGTAATTTAATGAGTTTATTCTCAGCATTTTATTTCAACTTTATTCTCGTAATTTAACGAATTTTTTTCTCGAAACACCTTTATTCTCGTAATTTAGTGAGTTTCTTTCTTGAAACAACAACTTTTTTTCTCGTAATTTAATGAGTTTATTCTCAGCATTTTATTTCAACTTTATTCTCGTAATTCAACGAGTTTCTTTCTCAAAATGTTAACGAATTTTTTTCTCGAAACACCTTTTTTCTCGTAATTTAATGAGTTTCTTTATTGAAACTCAACAACTTTATTCTCGTAATTTAACGAATTTTTTTCTCGAAACAACTTTTTTCTCGTAATTTATTGAGTTTATTCTCAGCATTTTATTTCAACTTTATTCTCGTAATTTAAATTTTTTTTTTCTCGAAACACCTTTATTCTCGTAATTTAGTGAGTTTCTTTCTCGAAACAACAACTTTTTTTCTCGTAATTTAATGAGTTTAATCTCAACATTTTATTTCAACTTTCTTCTTTAAATTTAACACCTTTTTTTCTCTTAATTTAATGAGTTTATTCTCAACATTTTATTTAGACTTTTTTCTTTAAATTTAACAACTATTTTTCTCATAATTTAATGAGTTTATTCTCAACATTTTATTTCAACTTGTTTTCTCGAAATTAACGATTTTTTTCTCAAAACATAACGAATTTATTCTTGTAATTTAATGAGATTATTCTCAACATTATATCTCAACTTTTTTCTCGCAATTTTACGAGTTTTTTCTCGAAATTTAATGAGTTTAATCTCAACATTTTATCTCGACTTTCTTCTTTAAATTTTACGAGTTTTTTTCTCTTCATTTATTGAGATTGTTCTCAACATTTTATTTCAACTTTTTGTCTCGCAATTTAACAACTTTTTTTCTCATAATTTAATGAGTTTAATCTCAACATTTTATTTGAAATGTAACTAGTTTAATCTCGTATTATAATGACTTTAATCTCGAGATGGTTTTATTTTTTTATTACTATTGCTTGGCCCTAATCATCTTCCGTAAAAAAGAGATTGGTCCTGTCTGTTGTTGATTAATTCCAGCAATGACGTTCTACAATGTTGTCCGTTGACGTTGTACATAGTCATGTCGCCGGAAATTGAGTAATCACTGTCCCAATGTGCAGTGAGCCAGGGTACTTAACAGTGACCGAATTTGTGTACACAATATACTGTTTCACGAGCTCGGGAGATAGGGGGCTGATTGAGACCCACCCCCTAATTTTATTCAGTGACAGCTATAGCGGATGCCTTTGTCCATATTAGGGATTTCCTGGAAAGTCATCAGTTTCATGACTTCTATGAGTCTCACTTGTGGACTTTCTGTGCGAGGGCGCCCTCAGGCGACGAGTATGAATGAAACAGACACTACAGGAGAGTGTTTAGCACTCCATGGGCAAAAATGGAATAGGTTAAATATTAC